GATGGGAGGTTTCCTTGAAAATCTTATTGGTATGCTTCTGTTAATACTAGGAGGTACCGAGACTCTGGTCTCTGGTCTTTCAGTGTATTTCTCGGACTACTGTCTTGCACAATCTCTTCGTCTAAAGTCTACCACTGTTACTAGTTCTACCTCTTGACTAACAAATGCACACGAACTAAATACCATATCGGTAGCTGTGTGTGGGCCACACGGGCAGACCTTGGAAGATTTTAAACATTCCTTTTAGAATACTAACCCAAACACTTTCACGCGATTCTTGAAAGTTCTTGAAACAACTAATAGAAACTAAAGTTCAGAGAACAAGAAACCTAAACAGGATCTTTCGTGGGAGATCCAGACGAAGGCCAATAGAGGAACCCAAACATCACCATCGACGAAGTATTGTTCGGAGGTTTTTTTTCATCTTACTTTATCGAGAGTGCTTTTCAGTAAGTTCTCTGGATAAACTAAGATAAACAACTTGAAGTCATAAGACATAAGACTTTCTCGGTGTAGGCATGCAGTCGGGCTATAGAATCACAATACTAACGCGATGGCTTCATGAAGATAATAAACAATTGATGATCACGAACCAAACTTCTAAGAAATTATTGAGCTTCATAACAATATGCTTGGGGAGTTGGCCTCTCGAACAGAACTCAGTAACATCCCACAGTCTATCCAGGCAAGGAAACCCCCGCAAGGAAATCAATACCCCAGGTTAAACGAGACATAAACTCGTACACCAAAAGTCGAACTTCTTCGAGGAACTAAATTTAGCATGTTACGCTCACAACGGTTCGAAGTTCGATTTTCAAGTTCCAATAAATTGTTTTCAATTATCAGTATCCGGCCTCACCAAATGTTTGCCGGTACCAAAAGAACCGTATAAATGCACAAGACGTAAAAGGGTTGAGAATCATAAATCAATCATCAACTTACAGTAAGTTAGCTTGAGGCGTTTTGAATTTATCCGATCGATATTATGCAGTTAATTTGTTTGCATAGCGCGAATTTAAATACCAGCCCGTCATTAATATCAAGGGTAAAATTTTCTTATCAATATTGTACTTATATTTGAAGCTGTTTAGTTTTTGATGTTCTTCATATACTTACGCAAAATCGTCATGACCTATTTTTCCTTTTGACATGATTATGGCGAACGTATGTCCACTTAGAAAGACTAAAGTTTCTTGCGCTGCTGTTTACCTCGGTCACAAATCGCGTGTTTGTTATATTTGTTCATCACGACTGTCGCCTAAAATCATCAAAATATATCCCTTTTGTAATTAAACTGCAGCCAAATAAAATAAGGTAAAAAAGGATTGCAAAGCAGATGTTCAAACTCGTAACGTTATTCACAAAGTCTCGAAATTAAACATTTTACGGAAAACCTTAATCCGTTTTATGTTTATGTGCATAAAAACAAGAGAAGATGAATAGCCAAATGAGCTGTTGGAGTTCTTTTGTGGCGACGTATAAATTTCACAAGTTTTGATTGGTCAGACGTTTTGAAACCAAAGTTCGTTCAAAATTTGTTTACATCATATTTTAACCATATTAGAGGATTGAGGTCGCTCAAAACGTCAACGTGGCTCTGAACCCTATGTACAGACTTTTTTAAAACTTTGCCAAAAGTTGCGTCTTATCATGCTTATTAAAATTTGATAATATAAAAAAATTCACTGTGCCGTTTTTGAATTATAAACCCCTAAAGCTGTAATTAAGGGTGCTTTTAGCAGGTCATACTGTTGCTATGGTAACCTTATTGCGTCAAGAAAATGATAACGTCTTCACCAGTGATTGGGTATTTTTTTGATACCATGACTGTTGCATCAGGCGATAAAGAGTGGTTACAATGACCCATCAAAATCTAACTGCTGGAAACTGTTTTGAGCCACCTTAAAACGTACGTAATTGTCGTCAAATGCAGGACAAAACAAATACTGGAAAAACTGTTAGTTTCTGTTTTTTCTTCGATTTTTCCCATGCATTAAATAACTCCAATATGCATGTGCCAAAGCAAGGCATCAAAGGTAAAGAGGACTGTAGATGTTCAATAATGAAAAAATCTCTCCAAGGGCAACAGTTACTCATAGTGTCTCTAGAAAATGCGTTGCAAATAGGTAATGAGGATAACTTTGATAATCCTACTAGAACAATTATAGAATATTTAAGTGATCTAGGAAAAAGATTGGGGCTTTACGGATCCTTGCATGTAGATTCAATATTTACCACGCGAAGTATTCAATTCTGGGTCAACACCATGGCCTCCAAATATGTTACAATTTCATGATTTCGGGGCCCTAACGAGCAAACTTACAGATATGGCCTGCCAATTCAATTCGTGGAAAGTTCCAAATTTTCAAAATTCTACCTACCAAACATTTAAAGCTGAAGATTTGGGTCAGCAAATGTTCAAAATTCAAGATTTGCTGGCAAAGTGTGGAGAATTCAAGATTTTGCCTGTCAAACATTGAAAATGCAAGATTTTGCCTCCCAAAAATCAGTTAATTTTCAAGATTCGGTCCACGAAATATTGATAATAACGTTTTGCCAGTTAATTATCGAAAAACTCACTACTGACCTGTCAAATATTGAAATGTAAGAACTGGCTTTTAAATTAGTCCAGAGAACTTTCGAGACACACATGGAGAAATTCAAAAGCGTGGTATAGTAGGAATTATTCATACGACAAAACATTTGGTCGTCGAGTAAGAAAACTTTTTCAAGTCATAACATCAGCAAACCCTTTGTCTCGCTTTGTCAATTTGACCCTATAACATATAAAAAGGCAAATTACTGAATTTTGATTGGTTACACAGAAAAACGTTTTGCCGTCGTTGGAAAAATTCACACCACCTCAAAACTTCCAAAAATGCTCGAGATACCGAAGCTCACCGAAGATTCAGGAGTGGTGCGCTAGCGAAAACGTGTTTGTAAATGTCCTCTCTGGGTGGGTTACGAAAATATTATATACTTCTATTTAATATATTTTGTCATAATTCTTCCTCACAATAACGATATTAACTGAGGAACATCGTTAGCCTTACAGGTTGGGTTACTGTTTTCGTCGTTTTCACCCCTAAATCAGTACCTTCCAAAAAAAAAAGGTTTCAAGCCTTCATTCATTGAGAGATCTTTTCATATTGAGCTATAGCCTGCGAGCAGGCTTCTCTGTTAGGATGTGGTTTGTTTTGGCTTGTGAAGTAGCGCAACACAGTGGAATTGGACATACTTCGTCAGTCTTTTTCCTCTCTTCCGTTTTCCATTTGCCATCTAATTGCCTATTTAACCAATCATTTTCAGGCGAACAAATCTAAAGAAAACATTTTTAGGAATCTAAATTTGCAGTCGACTGGGATGGGAGGATTACTTTTTCATCTGAAAGGTAATGCAATTGTTAAATTTTATACGTTGATAGTATGTTTCAAAGTTGATAAAGATCTTTCGCATAAGCAGCTCGTGGAAAGGAATTAAATTGCTTGCATCTTTTTATAACGCCGGCACGGAGTCTGAATAATTACTAAAAATAACCATTTGCTTAAGCATCCACACAACCATATGTAAACAGAAATGTAAGACGTGGGTTGATAACAAATCAGATGGTACATAAACTGCCCCCGTGCTTTGCAAAATAACAAAAATAATTGTATTTCGTTTTCTAGCAATTGAACAGAATCGCTCCATACGCAAATGTTTGGTGGTACAAATTCCAATAAGGAGAGATCTTAATTTTATTCGGAAGGACCTAAACTGAAGCGCCAACCTTTATCGTATAAATGCGCATTTGATCATCATGGAATAAAACATGTATAGTACGGATAAACAGGGAATTTGGAAATGATCTTTCCAGATGTCAGGCAGATTAAAACTATTTGCAACGGCCGCCAAAATTGAGACTTAAACAGAATTTGAGGCCATGAACTTGGCAGTACCAAATGGTTATTCTACCAGCTACCGACCATTGACAGCGAGAGATATCCTGAACGTTCTTGGAGCAACTGACTTTGACATGAGGAACTCAGACACATAAGCAATGTCTTTCGCGTTTATGTAGTTTCAAAGATGCATTTACTCGTCAAATAATTGGAAAACGCAGACTGCTCAACATCGAATTCCGCTTTAAAGGGGATAAACCTAGGAAACTATTATCCCGACTTTGACTAACATGTAAATGATGAAGAAAGCTCGGTTATCCAATAATTTAACTGATGCAAACATGATCTTTCTATATTTACAAACGCTGCAAAAAAACATGGTGCTCCAGCGATTTGTCGTAAACCATAGTTATTATCAGCAATTTTTCTACGGAATTTCAGCCATTTATTTTTAAAAAGATAAACAAATATTGAAGTTTCGAAGGCATCGTTTTACACTTAGCTATTTCCTTATGCCGGTTGATTTATCTAGGTTAAACACTCACAATGACAAACGTAGTATTTGAAAACTTATTGTGTTCTTTTCTATTAACGAGCCATCACGGATTTAGCAGGAACATTTCCAATTATTAGCCTGAAAAGGGCTGGCGCAATTCACAATTTTGTATCCGCTAAAAGATACGATCTGGGACGTTTAAAATGATTTGTTTTAGGAGGTCTTTAAGAACAAAAGGATGCCTCCAATAGAACACACAAAAGGGTTACGTCAAATCTGTTATTCCTGTACGTAAGAAGCAGAGAACGTTTTTTAATTAACAAAGTTTCTACGCACGTTGCGAATGGCAAACGGAAATGTTTACAACGCAAAGTATTGAGCAACAATAACGTGTTCCTCTCCTCCCTCAGTCCGTTAAGAAATTACAGGATACAAAATAATAACGTTATGCCTGTGAATCAGCATTTCGCCAAGAAACAACAGCTTTTTTGTTTATGGTAAAATTATAACAATTTTAATCTATCAACTGAAAACATCCTTAACATGCGAGCGCCAGAAAGATAGCTTCCGTCATTAAATAAATCAAGAACTTTTCACCATTTAATATTGTTTTCCAATTCGCGTGGGCAGCAAAGAACAGGCAAAATTAGATCTGAACGATTTGTTTGATATCTTAATTTAACAACATCCTGTACTATAGATGCAAAAATAAATTTTCGCTGTGGAAATTTAAAGACAAGACAACAAGAAAACGAAAATAGGTATAATCTTTAAAAAGAAGCACGGCAAGCAAGCATTCTGTCGACTTCTTTTTGTTTTTTTACACTGCAAGTCAGCGTGTCGCGTGATATCGTGCGACGTGTGTTTTGCTGCAATGTGTGTATTAGTGTGCTACGTTTTACATTCGGCGTTATGTGTGGGTGCTGACGGAGGTGAATAAGCCAGTACACTCGCTCTCGACGTTTGCTCTTGGCGTTGTCAGACGGACGTGACGAGCACAATTATCGCGGTATGTCAAAGAGATGAATTGCTATATATTTAGCCTTTCGCCTGCCAAGAAAGCCAAACATGAAAGCGAAGAGCTTCTTTTTTCAAAAGTGGTGACTTCCTTCTTCTTAGCCAAGTAAGTAAAACAAAACCATGACGAAGAAAAATCTTCCATTTCACTTTCCATTATTTTTAGTGCACTGTCTCCACTGAATTCAATCGTAAGTTCATATCACGCTTTTCGGAATTGATCCGGCAACATTCCCATTCCGCCCATTTTTTGTGAAAAAGGCAGACAGCACTAGGAGAAACAGCGTTCTTTTCCTTGGATTTTCTTAACTTAACCGTTTAGTACGGATAGCCTTTACTGGTATCTGCGTGATGTGTTTGACTAGTGTCTCTCATATTCCGGCTGATCAAGTTGAGTATCGAATGCAATCCTTGCCCTCCTTCTTCTATCAGAAGAAAAACACTGGTTTATATTACTTCCACATACACTTAAACCATCTTGACTTATTCTGTAGATCTCTTGACGGGACCCGCTTATGTTTGGCACGTAAACCTAGAGACTATCGGGTCAAAGTTGCAAGAGCCACGGTCAGCATTGAGAAGTATTCATGATTCCTTAAAAAGGGAAATATTTTTGGACTTCAATGGTGATTGAGGATGTTTACTTTTTTAAAAAATTTCAGTTTGGGAGTGTATTAGCAGAACATAAAAAGTTTTACTATAGCACTTTGACAACACACAGTCGTTTTCTTTGAGGGATCACTCGTCTTCATTGTGCCGTATTGTCTATTTATCTTAATAGAAGTAGTTCAGTTTTAGCTTAATTTCTCCGATGTACTCCGCTCATTCACAGTCTTATTGAGAATCTAAGACTGAAACGCTTTACTTTTAAGGGTAAACATATTGATAACAGATGACACAATTCTAATCTACCCGATTGATATGAAGACTGTTTTCCTGAAAGTGTTATACTCTCTCTTGTTCTCTAAATTTTGCAATTTTATTGTAACTTTACATTTTTGCTTAGAATACTGCAGTCGGTAATTAATTCATTGCGACATATATGTTTCAAGATACGCCTACAGAATTCTCACTCTACAAGTTCAGGTCTTGTGCGGAAATTACTTAAAATGTAAAATGCTCATTTCGCAATTAACACACTATTCCTTACTGAAATAAGAATATACTAGGACAGTTCGTGCACCAAATGACAACTTTCTAAAGACGTGAACAGTAAACTCTTCGGCTAAGTTCGTGCGTTTTAGCGAGAAAAAGGCGAAACGCACATCGGAAGTTGTGTTTTCTTGATTTTTTTTTTATCCCGCCTTTGTTCTTATAAGGCTATAGATGTGATGATCCAGAAGTAACAAAATATAACTGAGAAGTTTACTTCGCTCATATTTGGAACTAAACGAACACTGAGGAAAGTTCGGTCAACAAGACTTTGACTTTGACTTTTATTATTATTATTATTATTATTATTATTATTATTATTATTATTATTATTTACGTGGGAAAGTCATTAGTTCAAAAGCAACTAATCAAGTCGCAAGCTTCAATTTATTTGAACAGTGTGCAAGAGCAGAAAAATAATTAAACTATGTTTGAACGCAGCAAAGGATTTTATTTCTGCAGTGGTAAATGCTGCCGCTCTCAATACCAAAGTACCAAGTGAAAACTTGATTAACTCCTTATCGAGATTAGGTAACCAAAATTTCAGCACTAAAAGAAGGTTCAATTATATCTTGCAAGAAACAGGCCGCGACATTCGATATATCAGTATTCTAACATGGCTCCGAGGCTTTCGGGACAAAGTTATACAGGCGTTTGAAACGCCTGTATTTGGTGGTGTTTTCTTTGTATCCAAGTGTCCTTTAGGAATTGAGAGACAAAAGAAACTTAGAAAATTTGCAATTTTGACCAGAAAGCCTAGGAGCCATTTTAGAATATTGAAATATCGAACGTGGCCTTTGGCCTCAACCTTCAGCCGACTGACTGAGCGATGTCTTATTCTTTCATAGCTCAGTTTTCTTGACAATTTTTAACATGCAAGCTTCAGAAAGTGGCAGACTCAGCTTTGCAACTTTAGTTACCTTGATGCTGATGGCTTCACAAGCCTCAACAACTAAAGCTTCAGGTTTGCAGCAGCTGCTGAAATCAAACGCAGGTACCGAGCTTTCGTTATCAGGACAAGACATTGAACAGCCTTGGTGTAGAATGAAGCCTCTTCCACAGAAAGTTCGCAGACGTGGGTGTGAAACAGCGACTATTATGAACAATTTGTGCTATGGTCAGTGCCGTTCGTTTTATGTTCCGCATCGCAAGGGTTATTTCGAGTCGTGTTCGTTTTGCACTCCCATCAATTCTACGACGGAAAATGTTGTGTTGAGTTGCCCATCTAAGACAAAGAAGCAAGTTGTTAAAAAAGTTAAAATCATCACAGCCTGTAGCTGCCGTGTGTGTGGTCAGAAGTATATTTGAAGTACTGTATTGGATGTAATAGCGCTGGAGACCGTAAATAATTCATTTTTACCATTACTATCCTTCTATTTATCTTAAGACCATGCGGAGACATTGATAAGTCAAACATTATGTATTGTATACGGTGTTATCAGTGGTAACACCGTAATATAGTTTAATGTATTAATATGTAAAATGAAGTTATACTGGTATGAATTTTATAAAAATTTCAACAGACATTGTTAAAACACAAACACATTCTGCAGTTAAAAATTTCATCGATGTAATCTAGTACTACACAGAACAGGAGTTCTCAAACTCCCCGCTTTCTCGACTCAAATCATTTTTCCTTGGATATGCGTTTATCCATGCAAGATGAAAATAAGAAAATTAAAAGTAAAGAAAAATGCGTTTCGACATCTTCAAGATGTCTTTGTCGGGTTTCAAAATGCGAAGGTCAGAGTTCGTGCGTAATTGAAAAAGCACACTATGTTAAATATGTGAAAAAGCGAAAATAATAAAGTGACAAGGAGAAGTGTTTTCCGAAAGCCTTATAGATATATAAGCTTAACGGGTTTCGATTCATGTTAAGCAAACTGTGTCAGTAAAGCAAGCTTTAGAAAAAACTTGTTAAAATATTTGCCAAGTTCGCCGGTGAATTTCCACTTTAGAACGTTAACATTGATTTACTAGATAACTTAAAAACAATCGATTTGGCTCAGCGGAAAGGGACAACGGATGAAACATCAGGTTCTCAATATGTCAGGGATCTAAGGGACGGACCACTATTTTTTGAGGGGAGGGAGGGTTGGACAATTTTCTGGGGCATGAAATTTTTCTCTCAACTTTAGGTTGCGCATGATTATTTTTCGTGGGCAATAGTTTCTGCTGAAGAATTTTTTAACTTCAAAAATCAAAATGATAGTAGAAAGCACTTGCCAATTTTTTTCTCTGCACGGTTATTTTTTCAGCCGTTTTGGCTGTGCAAAATTTTTTTTGGGAAATTGCTCACCCCCCCTCCCTCCAAAAAATAATAGTCCGTCCCTAAATCACATCCCCCTCCCCCACCCCGAGGTAAATGGGTTGTCGTGGAAAGCACACTGGACACAAACCGTTTCTCCACTCAGTTCTTAACCATAACAGTAAACAATCGAAATAACAAATCCCTAACTATTGTGTCTACCTATTACCTGGGCACTACTTTCGTAGATGAAACTAATTAAGCTTATAATTCAAGATCACCTCTCCTTAGGTATAATTTTTTTCATGCCAATCATGAAGTCTTGTTCACTGCATGCATTATTATTTGTAAGACTGTTCTAAGCAAGTAAACGAATAAAAACGGGCATTTAACAAAGATCATCCATAAAATAAAATAAAAGACTTTATTTAACCTGAAAG